TGGCATCAGTGTTTCCAGGAAAGGAATGTTGAGCAAAGGGACCTCAAAAGATGCCTGGGCTGATCTCTCACCAATCACGGAGCTCATGAAGGCACTTTCTTCTCCTCCCCTCTTTCACCAGGGTATTTTCCATGGAAGCGCTATGGACACCCATAGATTCAGACAGATGGAAAGAAATAGCCTTTTTCATCCATGAAATGAAGGAAATGCAGTCAGCAGTGAAAGCTCAGTTATAGAAATACTGCAAGGACAGCGGTGGGGATGCATTCATGGCTCAAAGTTTCCAACTCACCTCTGTCACTTTGGAGAGTTCATTTCTTTTCTACTCTTCCTCCTCCTGCCTTCCATAGTTTCTAATTTTAACAGAGACTGAGCACGAGAAAGGGAAGAAAGGGGAAAGGGCAAAAAGCCAGTGGGGGTGCAGAGGTTAATTTTGTAATGAATTTGGCTAATGGGAAAGATGCCTTGGAGAAGATCGCTCAATGGCAATCTAAAGGCAATTTCAAAAGCCAATTAAAGTGCTTTCAAACTCTTCCACCTGTGACTCTTTAAAATGATTCTCTGAGCTTGAGTTTGGCTTCTGTGGCAGGAAAACAGACTAAAACCAGAGATGTCTCCTGCAAAGCGAGTTTGGCGTCATTGCTGCCTGCTCTATTTCACTGCAGCCGCGGCACTTCCAGCAACCCGCTCCCACAAGGACCTTGCCAAAATAACTGAATAAATAAAATTTGCTGCTAAAAGCAATGAAGAACAGAGGGGAGGCCATCTCCTTTCACAGCCTCCCCATGTCTCGGTTATAAAAGTGAGCAAAGTCTTAAAAACTGGGCTCTGATCATTCAAGTCCCCCAAAAACCTGCTGGCTTGGGGTCCTTGTACTTTATTCTTTGCCCTAGGAGGGATGGGAGATAAGCCATAAGCTCACTCACATGTGAGCACGCAGGCACACACAGCTCAAGTACCCACAAAGGGAGATTTTTGCCCCCCAGGTGATCTCGCACAGCTCTCATAGCATCATTTGCACTGTGGGCTGGGCTGACTCCTACATCTCTGCCCTCCAGATGCTTCAGAGATGTGTTCTGGCTTTGCATGAACACCTGTGCATGCATCTCATCTCAGATTAGCATGCTCCACTATAAAAAGAATGATAATTTCCCTGGGATTTTACCTTTTCCATAGTTCTTCTGGCTGCCCAGCACAGTATTCCTTGGGCAGGTAATGGCCTCCTGTGCACAGCTTGCTGATGGATTTTTGGCAAATCACAGTGGGTTTGAAACCCCATTCACTGCTTCGTTCTTTCCTCTTGGAAGGAAGAACAGCTCCAAAAGCAAGAGACTGAGCAGCTGCCTGGAGTCATTTTGACAGTTAATGTTTTTGACAGGGCAAAGCCATCTGGGTTAAAGAATACAGAGACTCTGCAGACAGAAATGAAGGGGAAAGAGCTCAGAGCGGAGGCTCGGGGCTGTGTAAAGCAATACCTGAGGTCAGCTGAGAGATCCTGCTGGGAAAAAACACTTGAACAAGTGGTAAGAGCAGGGTCTTCCATGGGGATGAAGTGCTGTGAGTCAGCTCCCAGGGAAGGTTTGCACTGAGCATGGAAGAAATGCAATGCTCTGCAAGGTGCAGGGTGGGCAGAGCTGCTCAGCTGCTCAGAGCTGAAGGTTAACAGCAAAAAGCAGAGGGCTAGGGTTCAAAGTCAGGATGTGCAGTGAGCAACACTTTGTGTTTTGCATTTCTAAACCTGCCTGAATTTGGAAGCTGGGACCTGGGAATATCATGCTTTTTGTATTGTTCTTTCTCAGAGCTCATGGCCTCAGCCCAAGGTATATCTCTGGGCAGCAAGGTTGGTGTGCAGAGCAGAGATACAGAACGCTCTGCTTCCCTGTGATTCCAGCTTCCTGCTGTGCAACTGATGGAATCCTCTTGAATACACAGCAGCAAAAAGTTCTGCCTTAGTTAACAAGAAGATAAATGAGGAAGATGTTTTGAATGAGCTGGAGACATGGCCCCTTGTATTACAAAGTCAACGCTTTCTTCTGAACTGCTTTTAGGCTTTTTGGGGGTTCGTCATGGCACTGAGAGTTGGTTTTCTTGTTTTGCAGTGACAAAGCAGCGTGGGGTCAGGTTCAGAACATGAGAGTGAAGAGGAGGAAAAACACAATGGAGAGGGAGGGCCAGCAGCACCGAGCCCAGCACTGACCTGCAGCACGTACATAGCTCTTTATTCTCTTAATTTAGACCACACGTAGGTGTATTCCAGGGGAATGTTTGGAGTAATGATGTAAAAGGAAGTGCAAGCACGATGAAAACGTATCAGAAAAGCATTACTGGTCTAATTGGGGCATTTAGAGTACAAAACTGGAGTGCTCCTCCTTGTGAGTGCCACCAGGGCTGTACAGGGAGCACCCACTGCACCCCCGGGGTTCACCCAAGCGATTCCCAGCTCCTTTTTCCATCCAGGCTCAGTTCTGTGAGCACCAAATGAAAAATGCAAACTTCCTGCAGAGAATCATGGCTTTGTTCTCAAAAAGAGCAAAGCACCCAAGTGTGGGCACGGCATCAGGGTGCAGGGGTTGAGTGCAGGGATAAATCACCGCTCCTAAGGCCATCCTGCAGTTGTTGGCTGCTCCATGCAGAGCTGACCTCAGAGCACTAATAATACGGATGGGCTCTGGAGGCTTTTTAGCATGTGTGTTTTAATGTAATGAGTTTTGGCGTCTAAAATGTTTTTCCCCTTTTCGCTTCTCCTCAGGGCTCGAAAACAGTGGGGTCAGCTCAGTTTGGAAGGAGCAGACGAAGACAACACTTGCTTTAATGTGCAGAATTATATCATCGGCAGCCAGAGGTCACATCCTGCTGTCTTTTTAAAGATAACTGCAGCCCCTCTCTGTTTCCCTGCTCCCTTATAAACCTGGCTCAACCCATACCCTATAGCAGCAAGAGCACACAGCCCAACATCTTGGATTAGTTATGAGTGTCTCAGATGCGCTCCAACTCATATTTCATATCATTCCCCCAGCCATAAGATTTGAGTTTGTCACATTTACTGGAGACTAAAGCACAAACATGTTTTATTCATTATCTGTCCTCTTCGCAACAAGCACCTGCAAAACATTTTGGCTCTGGACTGGAGCAACAAGGTTTCATTAGACATGACACTTTCTCCCTGGCTTGGATGACGAAGCTACATTTTATCCCTGCACTTCCAGGCTGTGAAATTGCCTGGAGATCATCACCTTGTATGAACGTGGACTCTGGAGACCTCTTGGCTGAGATGGGAGAAAGGGATCGAGGTGATTATGTAGATCCGATCACTGCAGTCAGAGGGGCTTGGGGCAGCACTGAGCTGCTTTATCCTTGCAACATCCAAAAGAAAGCCCAATTCTGCATCGTTAACAGGGAAAAAATGCCACGTGGAGGAGCAAAACTGTTGCATGTTGTCATACAGGGGATTTGCAAGATGTTTGGAGCCGAGATCCCCTCTTGTTATTTTGATTTTAGCCAGCAGCCGATATGGGAGCAGCGGTTCAAAGCTCCTCACCGACTCCACTCTCCTAGCCAATGAATATGGATTGGATGCAAAACAGAAGAGCTCACCAGGAGAGGGAGAGAAGCTGTTTGCCTTGCAAGATTCATCGGTCCAGTGCTCAGATGAACGTTGGAAATGAAGAAGTGAGATTCATGTCCCTCCTCTGAGCTCAGCCCAGCAGAGCAGCACACATCCTGGACCATGAGCATCACCTCTTGCACTTTGGCTATTTATTTCCTCACATCTGTCCTGCCAGCCTTCCCTGGGACTGAGGGGCTGCCAGAAGCTCCCAAGCCATTGGGTTTTATTCCTTTACATGGATCACATTTAACGCTGTGTTGCTCTCTGCTTGCTGCCCTGCACATATGCTCCCCAGGAGGCTTTGTTATGGTGCTTTCCCTTTAATTATCTTCTCCAACATAGAGTTTTTCTCTCTTCACCTTCCCTCTTTCATTTTCAAAGTCTTTAATCACTTGTTTTCTTCCCGTTTCTGCTTGATTTTTTCTGACATGTGCAATAAAAACGCCAGTAAAATATTCATGAAGAAGCACTGATCTCAGGTCTTGGAGATCTCGCTGATGGGATTTGTGTGGCTGTGCAATTAAAAGATACCGTCAATAAAGCAAGATGTTGACACGCTAATGGTGCAATGCCTTTGAGGGAGGCCGGGGAGATGCTGAACCTGATTTTGCCGTTAGCATTCCAGCAGTTAAAGCCATCAACCCAAGCAGCAGGCAAAGACATCCCTATGCAATTTCAGTTCGGGCAGTGGAGGCACATATTTATTCAGTGCTAAATACAGCCGTGAAGTACAGACTTCTTTTTCCTTTCTTTCCTTTCTTCCCTTTCTTTCCTTTCTTTCTCCTTCCACAGTTGTTGCATTTGAGCAAGTCCCCATTTGCTCCCTCCTGGGACCTTCCTGCTCTGCTCTCGTTGCTGCATTTCTGCCCCTTTACAATGGACACGGTGAGGACGGGTTGATGGTTGGATTTGATGACCTTGAAGGTGTTTCCCAACCTTAATGATTCTGTGATTCCTGTCCCTGAGCCGGCATAGCATAGCACTCAGCTTGCTGAAATTAGGTGAATATTCGAGCAAGCAGGAGGGGAAATATCCTTTCATCTTTTGCCTGCCTTCCTCATTACTAACCTGTCTGCACAGAATTGGCTTTCTCATTGTGTGGCTCCGATGGTGTTTTGCCAGGATAAATTTCAGCCCCACAGCCTCTGATTAGTGATTCCCTGGGGGAAGGGCTGCATTCTGCTTTTAACCCCTCTTCACTCCCTGCCCTTCCCTCCCCATCCCTGGCGAGGCTTCCCTACCCTTTCCTGTTATTGTCCTGCCTGCCTCTGATAAGATTAAATACGTGCCCTTCAAAAACAACAACAAAAAAAGGCCTTTCTTTTCCCATTCCTTATTGTTCTTCAAAGAGATGGGGAAGACAAGATCCTGCTCCAAACTCCCGCTAAGAAAAGCCCGTGATCTACAAGGCTGAATAAATAACCCCGAGTCCCTGCGGTGCGTGTGAGCAGCGCTCACCTCCGTAATTGAAATGCATTCAGAGAGAACTTGAGTTTTACCTTCCTAATTCATTCCCAGGACTGCAAGAGACTTTTTTTCTTCCTTTTTTTTTCCCCCCTTCATTGCAAAGTGAGCTTTCAGTCCGTGGCAGCCTGCTAACTGCTTGCCCTGCAAAGTCCTTTGATTCTGACGATGTTGAAGGTTTATGGCAGCTTGGGGGGTTATATATGTGTTATGCTCTTTGCTTGAAGCTGTATTTGGAAAACACAGACCTACTGTGGAGGTGCTTCGTGTTTTTGCTAAGCCCATCACTGATGGCACTGGCTGGATGGAGGGTATGTGTTTATTTCTGGGGCTGTTTTCTGTAGGGTTTGGTTGACACGATGGCATGGCTGCCAAGTAAAGTAAGATCATTTATTAATACTCTAATATAGAATGTTTTCACCCTAAAATGTTAAGAGAGGCAGCAGGTGTGGGCTGGGGATTAACAATGTTCTTTTCCGTGTTCTGCAGTTGGAAAAGCTCAAATCACAGCAAGCTCCTGGCTCTGCATTCATGCTGGATGCATTCACGTCCCGCCATGTGAGCACCAGAGCAATCCTGGAGGACTTTTTCTGCACCAAGGGGAGCTACAGAACAACCCCAGGTGGAATACCGTGACTCCACAGGTCCCCCAGATGTGTCTGATGAGCATTCCCACTCACTGGCGTGTCCTCAGTGCCACCAGGGAAAGGTGCTGAGAACTTCTCCACCGTTTCTATTCCCAAAGCCAGCCCTTGGGGTGTAGTGTTGAAGAATGCCCCAGTGTCAACAGGTCTGGTGTGCCAGGGGCTGGGAATCTGTGGGCACAGCTCTGCTTGTGGCCCTGCTCTGAGGAGCAGCGTTGGGCTGCTCCAAGGAAAGGGGTCAGGATGCAGCCCTACTGCCTCCCCCTGTTGCCTCCTAAAACCGTTGGTGTCCTCAGAGACGACACTGGAACACAGGGCTGTTTATTCATCTAGGTGGAGAAATTGATGCTTTGTCACACACACCTCAGGCAAAAATAAATGGCATTCCACAGACACAGCATGTCAATGCATCCAGCATAGGCTGTGTAGGACACATTCACTTTGCAAAATTCCTGGAAGCAGTATGTATGGGGTGAGCAAAAGCGGAGCAGATGAGTCCAACTCCACTTTTTCTTCCCTATTTTACACCTTTCCATCAACTCCAGCGGTGAAATGGCTCTGACCTCATCCTGCTCTCTGTTTTAGCAGCATCTGAACTCTCTCAGCTGAGATTCAGTGGACCCCATAGGGCTCTGCAGGGGCTTAGAGCATCCCCACCGCCTTTGCTTTCGGATGGCAGGTAATAATTCATCCCCAAATAATGCCTTGCTGAGCAAAGCTGCACACAGCTCTCCCCAGAGAGGCAGCCTGTGCTCTAAGACCAATTGGAAATTACAGCTGCTGTCCCAAGGGGCAGCACAGCACTTATTTCAGCCTTGCAGTGGGGGAAGGGGAGAAGGCTGCCATCAAGGCTCAAACATTGTGCACTCTGATGCTCATCTGAATCAGGGTGGATTTTACAAGGGAAGTTTCCTTCCTTGTCCAACAAAGGGTACAACCACCTCTTGCTTCCATTAAAATATCCCATTAACCCATCTATCCCCCAACCCATAGGTGAAAAAGAAGGCTGCATAGCCAATGTCTCATACTCCCCTGAGTGTGTCCAGAACTTGACAGCCTTCAATAGGTTAATTTTTCAAAGCGGTAAGCTGATATTTCTGCATAAAATGCACATCTGCAGGGTAAATGCTATTAAGTGTCAGTGAATTATGGTCCCAGAGTACAGATCACTTGAGCCTTAATGCTACAAGCACCTTAATGTTTTTTTGAATGAAGTTTCTGCTAATTGCTTCCATATGATCTCTTTCTTTCTTGCTTGCTTGCTTTCTTGCTTTCTTGCTTTCTTGCTTTTTTGCCTCCCTTAGCTTTTGTCCCAGGACATACAGTGCTACAAATAATAAGGAATGAAACTGGATTAACATGGGATTAATGCCCACTTTTAAACCCAATTCATGGTGTTTTTTTTCCATGGTATTTTTGGCATATGGGTAGTGATGGAACTGGACTCAGATGTTAGGGATTGCCCTTCTGCCCAAGCTAAAGGAGGTTGAAAGGCAGACCCTCCGCTATGCCCACCTTTAGCCCCTGTTGGTGCCCTCCTGCTCAGTTATTCTCAACCCAAGACTCAGAGGCTGCCCAGGGACTGGTGGGGTCACCGTGCATGGAGCTGTTCCGAAATGGGGGGATGTGATGCTCAGGGATACGGTCAGTGTGCACAGTGGGGCTGAGGATCTGAAAAGTCTTTCCTGACCTCAGTGATTCTGTGGTTCTATGGTGTTTCTATCCAGTATGTTTCCCCAGAGCTGTGACCCTACCATCACTAAGCTGAATTCAAACAGCAGAAAACCAACAGAACTCCCCCCAAAACTGGCTTTGATTTATGGAGGGAGAAGCAGAGAAGTGCTGCGTGATGGGACCTCTGATTTACAGCCTCTATATTTTATGGCTGGATCCTGGGGGCTTACAGATATCATAGTAAAGCCCCAAAGCAGCCGACTGAATTAGCAGCACTTGAAATACAACAAAAAGCCTCCAGGCTGCTGGAGGCTTTTGCTATGTACAACCCCTTCGTTAAAGCCTGAATCCCTTATTCCGGTCATGCCTGGGTGCAGCTCTGTTGTTGATAACATGATTAACCTCGTGTAGGGTAAGAAAGGAGAAGCAGCAGCCCAAAGGATGTGGGTGAGGAGGCGGTTATCAGTGCTGGGGTTCAGCTCAGGTCATACTGCTGGTGAGGATGGTGACCGGTCGGTATTTCCTCCACTCCAAGCAGAGCAAGAAGAGGTAAAAGCATTTGGCTTTTGGGAAGGCAGAGGCTGTCAGGGGTGCATCTCTCAGCTCACCATGCATCAGTGCCTTGCCTTGAAGGGAGGGAGTGAGGTGGCTGCAGAAGTTGGGAGGCTGACCTCAAACCAGAGAAATCTGTACCAAAAATCCTTATGGCCATCACAGTGGTGCTGAGGCATCTTCCCCTGGGTGGGAATGTAATTGTGGGTCCCATGGAAACACTGATTTGAGGTTTTTATTGCAAACGCTGTGGATCACGAATGAAAAAATGGGAACTGCAGAAAGGATTTGCAGACCGAAGCCAGGGGATTTCTTGTGGCTTAATATAAACCACATCCTTTCTCTCACAAAACATGCACGTCTGCCAGGACAACTTTCCATCCACCTGTGCTTGTGTCGCTTCAGATTGAAACTCCTTCCCCAGAAGAGTGACTCTGCAGAGACGTGTATAAATATGGGACTATGTTTGTCTGCTTGTTTTATGTAATATCTATGCAAAATACTTGTAGCTACTGGGGAAAAGCATGCAGGAAGGGTTAAGACTTTTCTGTAAGGGGAACTTAGTTTGGATTAAGGGAAGAAGAGATCTGAAAGCAGGATTGCCCTCCCCAATGGATCCAGGAGCACTGCACTGTGCTGGTGTCTACAGGTAGAGGATGGGATGGAGGGAGGTGCTATGTGTGCTCCCCTGAGCATCCCCAGCAGGGAATGGTTCTGGTTGGGACTGGGCTGATTTACGCCCATGTTACATCAGCTCAGAGCAAACTTGGCTGTAAACAGGAATAAACACAACCATGTAGTAATTTATGCATAAATTAATTTGACTTCAGTAATTAGCCAGAAGGAAGTTTACCCCAACCAGTAAACCTCAGTGGATGGGGAATTCATTAAGCAGCTCAGTTTTGCCAAGTGCAGGGCTGCTTTTGCAAGTCAAAGATTTCATTTTTTAATTGTGCATTTTTTAATTATTATTTGTGCCAGGAAAGAAAAAAAAACCCTCTCACTTCCAAGCTCCAACTCAATGCAACAGAGAAGGGTCTGCAGCACTGGGGCCACCTCCTCCTCTCAGGGCTTTGCCCAGGAGCCCCATGGGCAGGTGGCAATCAGAGAGCTTCAAAGCAGCCGTGTGCTGCTGAGCAGAGCAGCTGGGCGCTGATGAAGAGGCCCTGTTTGCTGGGTGGGCTTCTGGGCAGAGCAGGATGCTGCAATCCCCTGCTCAGTGCTCAGCGTTGTGGCTCCACAAATCAGGACAGCCAAAGGCCAGGGAAGATTTCTTCCATTTCTTTTTACTTCACTCCATTGCATTTCTTATTCAGGCTGGATCTAAACACTGGTGCTGGTGGGGTGTGTTTCGAGCAGGGAACAAGGGGAGCTTGCAACCAGCAGGAGCTTTGCAGCACAGCAAGTGCCAGAAACTGAAACATGTAAGGACAACACTGAGGAAGAAGAGGGAGAAATTCAGCAAACTTTCTGGGTTGACACCAGGACTGCTACGAGATCCAATCCTCTTTTATCTCGTGGGAGAGGGCTGTGCTTGCAGGCTGCTGCTAGAGGGCATCAAAGGTTGGTACTACTTTCTCTGGGGCAATAGGTTGTGTAAATCACCCCAAAATTGTTATTCCCATTATTCTTCTGAGGAGTGGGCAGCATGAAAGCCTCCCTCTGCTTTTCTGCTGATGGGCTAAAGCCATGCTGGACTCATTACAGGGCAGGAAGGTGGGAGGTGCTGGGGGCAGTGTGAAATAATATGGCATCTTTACACCTTTCACAATGGCCATCTGACCTGACATTCTGTTTGTCCCACAGCACAACGCAGCCCCTGACAGCTTCACTCGGGCTGCAGGGGGGTCGGAGGTCTTCAGCAGGACACGTTTGGTTTGCTCGGAGGACTGCCTGGTACCCACTGACAGCTGCATGGGATGAAGGAGGTTTGTGCATGGAACGTCTGATACCGATACAGGTGAGGAGGGAAGCAGTGCGTGGGGGTGCTGAGCTTGGAGAAGCTCTGCAGGAGGGAAGCAGCGCCGGGAGCAGAGCCCTTTCTGCATCACCTGCACGTTCTCATCTCGAGATCCGCGGGGAATGCGAAGAAAGCCGCCTTAGGATGCGGGTAAAATGTTGGGCACAGGGATCTGCTTCGGGCATCACCAGAGAGGGGCAGGAGAAGCTGTGTGTGCATTCCAAGGGCTGCACTGCCACCTCCAGGTCTGCACAGTAATGCATCTTTTTGTTACTGTTCTTCAGCTCTGGGATAAAAAAAAGGAGGAGAAAAGGGTTATGAAAATACCAAGGGTGTCTTTTGTCACTGCTGACCACGGAGGTGAGGTTTGGGGTTGTTCCATGCTGTGAGAGGTGCGCTACCACTGCTCCCATCTGCAGCTCGCACAGCTGCGGCTCCGGTGCCGTCCCCGTTCCGCGCTGCGGAGGGGTTGGAGAAAGGAGCATTCAACTACTTGCAGTGCTTTTTAATCCCTTTTTAATTGTAGATGAAAGTCCGCACGATCTCTCTTTCCGTAAGAATTTCCCACTGCAGAACGGTGTGAGAAACCGGGCGTTTCTACGAGATGACGGCGTTCTTTTGTTATTATTTTTTATTTTGAGCTCACAGCCCGTCCAGGACGATGCCGTCCTCCTCCTGCGGGGTCACTTCCTCGCCGTGAGCCTCTCATTGCTGCGGGGCAGCTCCGTGCGGGGTTGCGCTGGCCCCGCGCACCGGGAGGTGGCACTGCAGCCGCAGCTTTGCGCGCCCTCGGTGGGCAGAGCTGGGCTTCGGGGCCAAAACAACGGGTATCAACATCACCGGATTTTTTCTTGACTTTTTTGGGAGCTGCATCACTCAGATTTCTTACACCTGCTTATCTGGTGCAGGGCGTCGGTCCGGCGGGGTCTCTTTGTGGAAAAGTGTGGCTCGTAAAGAGGAAAATTTGTTTGAGAATCAAGCAAATGGAGACAAGGAGCGTGGAGAAGAAAACCTCCCCCCTTCCCCTGCAGGCCCTTCCTTTCCCATGTTTGGGCTTTTGCATTTCAGCAGAATAGGTACCCAAAAAAGGCTGGGCACAGAGGGAAGGTGCTGGCAGGGGGTTGAGAGGGGGCTTTGTGCAGCTCTTGGTGTGTGCAGGAGTGCAGCTCGAAGCATATATCAGTGTGTGTTTGGGCACCTGCATTAGCACGTGTGTTAGCACATGCCTGAGTGCATAGCACTGATTGGCACAGAGCAGCCCACCAGGTCTCCTGTTTACAGCCTCCTCCCCCATCAGTGCTTCTTTCCTCCTTACCAGGAGTCTGAGCGTCTCTTTCTGCCTGCAGCCCTCTTGCAGGGCTTTCCCCTGTGGGGGCAAAGTGAGATCTGTCTGCAGATGCTCCAAAAGGATGCACAGATCTCCCTGTGCCCCCAAGTGGCTCAGGGAGGGTCTGAAATCAGTGTCAAACATTCTTGACCACTGCATATAGCATTTAGCTGCTCCACACTGCTGTCTTTGTTTCCTGCATTACTTGAGTTGTTATTCAATATATTTCTCACTTTTTTCCCAGCACAGGTCAAGTGTGTTTTACTGGGAAAACAGTGGGAAGGAGCAAAATGTGGGAGCCTGGAGCCAGGAGGGTTTCCCTGGCATTTGTGAGTGATTTTTAATTCTTACCATTTCTATGTTTTGCTTTTCTGGATACTTTTTCACTGAGCCAGTAATGGGATTAAAAAGGCATTTTGCCATTGGGCCTAAACATAGGTATAGAACAAAGATGGGCTCTGAAGCACACACACATTCATATCGAACACCAGCAGGGAAAAGCTGGCAAGCAAAAACCCACCAGTAAATGCCCTCCAGGGACAGGCTCTGTATTTCTAAGCTTTGCCATGCCCTGCCCTGCCCTACACCCAGGGACAGGCAGTGTAATTCCACCCTCTGTCCCTTCCTGCATCTCAGACCACCCGACAGGTGAAATAAAGACATTAAATGCAAGTAGTATGCAGGGATTTCTTCCTTAAATCCTCCATTCATCCCTATGTTTGTGGGCTGACTCCTTTTCAGCCCAGTGACAGTCAGGGCTCAGCTCTCATGGCCAGGCAGAAATACACCTCTGCTCTCACATCTTCAAACTGCACCTCTCTGTGTATACATCTGTACAGCCAGGATGCTCTTAAAATGGAAAATCAGCGAGATATATCTAGCAGATAAGTCTTTGTATTATTGTTCTTGTTTATCAAGTGGAGGGAAAACAATTAAAACTTCCACTGGAAGAAAAAAAAGAACTGCAAGAAATCAGAGCCCACACTTAATCTCCAGTCTTCAAAAGTTTCTTGGAAAGCTTAATTAAATGGTAATTCATCTGTGCATTGGCTCTGCCTTGTAGAGCCTGATAATGCTGGAGTCTTAATTAAAAAAAAACTAATGCAGCTTTGAGTTTTTATTCTGCTAGTTCAAGGGGAAAAATCACCAGCCAGTGCTGTCAATAGAGCTGAGAGATGCCTCAGCATTGCATTGATTTTATTCCGTTTAAAGTCATGGTGTCAGTTTGGGTAATCATATTAAAAGTTATTCTGCCTTCACTTATGTATTTGTGCATGGTGGGGATTGCAGCACCCGGTGGAAGGGGATCTGAGGAGAGAAGGGCTTTGAGCAGTGCTGCTGAAGAAGCCCAAAAGTTCCCATTTATCAGCAAACAGGAGCATCAAGCAGGGAATCCAAGCATTTGCCTTTTTCCCCCCTTGAACAGAGCATTTTTGGTCAGTGGCACCACCGGGAAATGGCTTTTTTTGGGTGCTGTCAAATTGGCTGCTTGTCTTCTGCCTTCATGTCATGCTCTGATAGCAAAAATGTCTCTGACTTTGCTGCTGGATCTGCTCTCCTTCCCTTACATCCAACTATGTAAGGGTCTCTTTAATGCTAATTAATGCAATGACACAATGAATTAATACTGTATTAGGCAAAGCTGTTAATTATATCGAAATAAAACAAAAGAATAAAGGAAACAAAGCAGGGAGAAGAGACAACCTGAGCTTGGCTTCCCTCTCAGCATCCTCAACACTCCAGGAAAAACCAACCTCAGGAGCATCCCCATAGAACCCCTGAGGTTGGAGAAGACCATGCAGTGTGACCATCAGCCCATCAAAGCCCCATGCCAGCGCCAGAGCACAGCTCTGATTGGAAGGACACAGAAGCGCCTCCCTGCCTCAGTTTCCCCACACCAGGCAGTGCTGTCAGGTCCATTGCCAACAATTAATTTCTGAAAATACCAATTAAACAGCATTAATGAGCGGGCTGTGGCTGGCATCCTCCTGCCTTCCACAAGGCAGTAGTTTGGTTCAGACATTGCCGACTTTAAATTATTAACTGGCCGACAAGCGCAGCCGCTAACGAAGCGCTCCTGGCTGGCGCGGTGCTCGAAGCTGTCACAGGCAGCATGAAAAACCCTCTGATGCTGCTTGAGTTAAGGAGAAGCACATCATTTTGCTTTCTTTTTAATGCTGCTCCCCCCCTTTCTCTTTCCAGGCTTGAAGTTAATTCAGAAATAATTGGGAAATGTGGAACTTAAAGGCTGAATTCTTCCCCCCCCCCCCCCCCCCCGTGGGGTTGTTTTTTATGCAGGAAAAAGGATGGATTTTTTTAGGAAGATTCCCATCCCACCTCATTGTTCTCACTGCCCACATCCCTCAGTGCCACATCCCCATGGATCTGAACCATCCCCGTGGATCTGAACCACCCCCAGGGACGGTGACCCTCCTGCTCCCTGGGCAGCTCTATGGGAGCTGCTGAGTCACGGCCTGAACCTCAGATTGATCACCTGAGGCGAGCACTGAGTCAGCCCTGGGAGCACAGGTGAAGGCAATTCTGTGCTGCTGGAACAGGTGGAGCCTGGCTGCACCTCTCCTACAGCCATTTAAGAGCTGGCCACAAGTGGGGAAGGATCTCTTCTGGAGATCCCTCCTGTGGAGTTTTGCAGCAAGCCCAGGACACAAGTAAGCATTCTATCTATTTTCTTTTTGGTATAATAACTTGCTTAGCCAAACTCTCTTATTTCATAATTATAACATCTGTATAGTCATTGATTATACAGTAGCCCATTCTGTCTTTCTTGGTGCGAGCAGATGGTGAAGGATGTGCTATGCCTCCGGCATTGCTACATCTTGAAAGCAAATCTGGGTTCTAACCCTGCAGGTCCACCCAGAAGCTGGGAGAAGCCTTCCTAGGAGTTCAGAATGCACTCACATGTGTTCAGGGGTTATTTTAGTATTTTACCAATAGACCAGGAAATGGCTGCCCATTCTCATCCATGTCCTGATCTTAGGTTATGGGTGAGACCTACCAGCCCAAAAGGGATAAACAAGTAGAGGTGTGCCAGACTGATGCTATTGGTGAAAGTGTTGATGTGTCCCTATGCAGGTGTGTCAGAAGTGGTTTTGGTGAGGAACAGTAAGCAACAGCTCGACGTGTGATGGGTGCAGCCTGTTGTAGGAGGGATGTGGGCTGTTTGTGGCAGGTCAGCTCATCAGCTTCTCCACTTTGCTCTCCCCTTATCTCCTCTCTTTGTGAGCATCTGCAAGGGGAGATGACAGTCCCCTAATAACGGCCTTCACCCTCTATTTACTGTATGTGCTGGGGTGGCTCTTGCTCTCTCTTTCCCCCTTTTAATGCTCTTAAGCACATCCCTCACTGGCTTTTCTTGAGCAAAGGAACACGGTGCTTTGGAGAAACCATCTCAATGGCTTATTTCTCTTAAGTCGTGTTTACTTCCCCTCTGCATGGCTTTTGCCCTACAGGTAAATGAAATCCTGTTCAGGCAGCTGCTGTTTGCTCCGCGTTCAGCAACCAGGAGAAAAAGTGTGAGTTTGTGCTGCTCTGGGGCTAAGCTGGAGGCTGCTGAGGTCAAGAGGATTTGGGAGCAGAGCAGAAATGGGCCCTGGTCTCATGGCCCAGATAAGCAGCTTTGTTGCATCTTAGAGGAGAGAAATGAAATAGGCACAAGCTCCAGACTAGGAATTATACAGAGGTTAGCAGGGGGCTGAAGGTGAGAGGAAAAGTGATGCGACTAATTTGAGGTGTAGATAAGGGCAATAATAATAAAACCCCTTTTGGTAAAAGCTTGCAGTGAAGTTATGTACATCAACAATGAGATGGGCAACCCTGTTCCTACTGCTCTTCTTCCTATGCGACAGCCCTCCAGCATGGACAAACATCCAAAGGGCAAAGAGCACGATTCCTAAATCAGAGTTAAACTGTGCTAATACAGGATAAGTGACTGCTTAAGGTAATAGCAGGAGAGAAAAATTACATGGCATGTATTTATAAATAATAAAGTATAATTTATTAATAATCTGGAATTGAACAAAGAGTCTATGAAGTTTAATTAATTATTAGTTGGAAAGTGCTTTTGAGATTACTGGATAAAAGCTGCTAGAAGAGGGGAAAGTACTGCAAGAAACTCATGCCAGCACCCACAGGAACGTACAGCCCCAGAGACAGAGGTTCTTCAGTGAAATGAGACAGTGGTGAGCAATGAGTGGTTCCCAGCAGCCCAACCTCCTCCTTTCTCTTCCTTAGAATAGAAAGGTGAAATCTCAAGACCTGGGATGACAGAGAATAAGCAATTTCCACCTTTTTCTCTATG